GACTTTGAAACCAAGTCATGGAAGCCGTTTCTTTCACCTTGTTCTGTGAGTGTAGAATCAAACGACACCACACTCTCGCCAAAATGGATAGTCCACTTGAAAATAACTCCAACAACCTTTTAAAGAATCGAGCCAATGCGATGGCAGCCAAGTTTGATTATTAATGGCGAGTCTCTGTCTCTTAGGCCTAATTGGTCTCTGCTGATTGCTGAGCGTTCTGATTAAGAAATGCCATTAAAATTGATGTATTATGCCTCCAAGTGTTTTTCACAGTTAGATAGCTGCTTCAATCAATTGATAATTACATGGATGATTTGTAGCTGAGCTTCATTTTGACACGTTTGCAATAATTGGCAAGAAAAAACAAACTTTTTTCCCCCTTTGTTTCTTCTTTCTGTGCATCCTTGATAAAATTGATTATAGAGGAAGTAGCTTCTTGTTTGGAATAAAGTCAGCAAACACAACAATGTATAAAACTCTCCAGTAAAACCTGAATTCACCACACTGTTATCCAAATATTGAAAGCAGATTTAATCGACTTCAATCTTTTTAACGTATTTCCCATTTGCAATGAAATTTCACAGTTCTTCATTGGGGACTTGGATAGAAATGTTCGTCTTTTGTTGCTAAAACGCAAACAGATAATTAGACGAAGCAAAATATGAATCTATAGGGAAGAGTCAGTGAGTTGGGTAATGATCTTTCTTTGTGTGAAGGTAATGAAAAACGGCTTTAGTTTTATGAGATGGTAAACATTTTCCCTGCAGAGATTTTAGTCTATAAAAAACTTTTTTTTTCTTCAGAAAATATCATAACATTCTAAAAGATATATATTATGCCTAAAAGTTTTGTTGAATGAAAGCATGCAATTATTGAGTGTCTGTACTGTAAAGTATCTTAAGTGATACCAAAGTTGGCAGCTGAATGAAGGTAATCATGACAGTATTTGAATAGGCCTGTCACGATAACAAATGTTGCTGGGTGTTTAATTGTCTCAGAAATTATTGCGATAAACGATAATATTGTTTGAAATTTGACAATAATTAGTAATTATTGTAAAATTTAAGAAGAAATGTTTAATTTGTTTTGAGTGTAGTACCTTTTTTTGACCACCGGATAGAAGTACAAGACTGTTCGAACCGAAGGATGGATAGTGAGGGAGCGAGAAGCGTGTCTAAGAAAAATGGGAGGGAGGCCCCTTGACGTGACATGGCCTGTCTCTCTTTGGTTCTCGAAATGGCGGACGCTCTGTGTAGTTTGAGCTCTTTAGCATAGCATTTTTCACACAAAGCTTTTAATAAAAATATCAGTAAACAAGTTCTCAGCTTCTTATTTGCAGAGAAAAACAAGTTTTTACACAAAGGCACAGGTTTCAACCGTGTATTTTGGCGCTTCGACAAGACGAGGTCGGCCTGTTAGCTTAGCTCGTAGCTTACTGTCTCAGCATAACTGCTTTTAACACCCAAAAATGCACTTTTGGGCGGTTAAAATGGATTTTAAAGAGAAAAGAGAAAGAGAGGGGTCAGTGAAGAGCACCGGAGTTGAGCCTTTTGTCATCCAGTGTCTTCAGTAGAAAGAGAGAGACACGAAGAAACGCTAAAGCTGATAAATGAAAATGAGGTTGATAATTTTCATTTATCATGTGATTAATTTATTTCATGTTTATTGTGACAGGCCTATTTTTGAAAAAAAATTTTTTTTTTTCTAATTTATTCATAGTTTGAAATGTTCTAAATTTTAACAAATTTTGACAAGTTTGTTTTAGCTCTGTTACATAAACGGCCATATGTCAGAATCTTTTTCGACTCTCTGCAGCACCGACACATTTTAGCTCTGTAAACTGATGGAGGAATGAATTGGGGTTTTATACCAAGCGAGATACTGTCTTTTATCATCCTCTCGACGAGGATTTGGCAATGTAGCTATTTCCATTCTTGCACAATCATCACAATGAAAGTCACACTTTTCCTCCAGAAATAATCAGTTTTTCATCTAGAAAGAACAAAAACTTGTTCTACAGACTATTAAGTTGGATGTGATGTATGTAACTTGAAAGCAGGAATGAAAAACAATCCCTAAGATGAATAAGCATTCAGTGACATTTCACTTTTTGAAAGGTGTTCTGTCTGCTTTGGCTCAGACATTATTCTCTGCAGCCCATCCCCACAACGCTGCATGTCATCAGTATGGTACCTTGAAGGAGCACAAATATGTCGAGGACTTTTTTTTTCACTGCTTAAAAAAAATCATTTTGGCAGCGTACCTTAAGGCGTAAGATGGAGGCAGGAGAGAAATGTACCTACACAACACACAGCAGCTCAGACACAAATGCTGTGATTATGAGCTGCCCGGTTTAACCGTAGTCTGTCAATATCTTCAGGTTTTCCTGCTCTGCTTAAGGGGATGGAAAAACTATTTTGAGTTTGTTTTATTCACTCAACTTTTAGTGACTGATCTACACCAGGAAATTAATATCTTACTTCTTGTAAATGGCTCCTCATTTTGGAAAAATAATGTAATTTTAATGGGATTGTTGTCCCAACAGTTAAATGTTGTAAAACCAAGACTGAAGTTGGTTGTTGTCGTCCTGAAACAAGACCAAATTTTGTAGCAGCTAATGTGAACATTTAAAAAAAAAAAATCTTTTTATAGTTGTTGGTTTTATGAGAGCCCAACTGATATGGAAATTTTTGGCTATTGTCGATACCGTTATTCGGAGGGGAAGCAGCCACCGATAACCGATATAATGGCTGAAACTTCTTGAGCTTTGTCCACCCCCAAGAATCTAAGAAAACCGCAAGTGGAGCAGGGCTTGCTTATTTAGCGCAGCTGTTAGCGACCATGAAGCTAAGCAAATCAGATCCATGCTATACCCACAGTAGATATACAGGTAATGCACTGGTCATCAAAAGTCTTCCTTACGTGTGTTCCTATTTTCTATCCTCCACTATTCACCATAAAGTTATCAAGTGTGTTACAAAAATTTAAATAAAACAAAGAAACACACCTTTTCACTGTTGAAACAGTCACATATGGCAAAGTCCTAATTAGTATTGACCGCAGCAGTTTTTTTATTTTCTTTGCAGAGAAGTAAAGATTTCAGACAAACAATGCATTTTATTGTGGACGACAAAGCTAACGTTACTAACACCAATATGTTTTACCTCTGTTTGATTTATTGTTCTGGCTAAAGCTTTACAAGGCAATAGGCTATGCTAAACGTTAGGTTCTTAACTTGAGAGGCACCTAGCTAATGACGAGCGGGTTGGAGGACTGAAGAGAATTTATTACTGTTTTGTTTTACAGATCAGTTAAAATAAACTTACCATGCTCTGTTCAGCAAAATACGCTACACTGTATTGCTCCCTGCTTCGGCTGTGCTGATCATGAAAGTGAAACTTAAGTGAACAGCAATGACTTGAAAGTAGTCTTCATGCACCCTCTTCTGGATACATTGTACAATTACTGCTGGTTCCAGCATTTTGAGAGTGAAATTAGAAGTGCCTATATCTGCATATGATGGGACAATTATCACCCATACTGATAGGTCTCCAAACATCTACATGTATATCGGCCTAAATTATCGGCCATACTGATATATCGGTCGGGCCCTAGTCTATACATTACACAGTTTTTTACATAAATAATTGTAAGCACAGATAGGTGAGGCTAGCAGTAGCACTTCCAGTAGAGCCTGGGGTGCTTCAGGTAGGAATATCTTTGTTTCTCCTGAATAAATGCTTTGCAGTGCAAAAGTTTTTAAAGTAAATGTTTGCATGAGTCATTTAAAATATTTTGAGAGCGGAGTTGTTCTAAGGCAGCAGAACTCCTCTTTGGTCTTGGGCCCACTCAGATTAGCCATTAGTTTATAAATCTGGTCAGAATTTAAATCTGTTTCTCCAAACTGAGTTTGTACTAATTCAAAATCTTTCTACTGAACGCTCCATTAAATCCTGTTTAATGTGCTTAAATTACCCCTGTGTGTCACCTTAATGCAAAAACAAAACAGAAAGGAAAGAGAAATCAGAATTTATATCTAAAATAGTCCAGCATGGCTGCTGCACGTCTTCGTGGATTGTGCCGTGATCGATGATGGGTCTTTTATTGTGTCTGCTTGTAAAGTCTAGACATAAACACCACGGCTCTTTTATTGAGATAAAAGCCACAACAATTTTATGTTTTTACAGATTTATTTTGGATTGTAAGCTCCAGCTCAATGTTTATATTTTTATTCTTAAGGTCATCTTGAATAAAATAAAATGGCACCCAAACAGATATTGGTTGTTTGGATGTTTTTTTTATTTTTATTTAAAGGTTTAGTACTTTACTTGCTGCACTGAACTTTATTTTATTTCCTGTGATCAAATTGCATTTCAAAATGAAATACGATCCACACTGGTTGCAAAAAGAAGCACTTGGATCGACAAAATAAAAACGTGGTGATTTCCAAAGGCTGCCACCGGGAGTCGGATGATGTTTTTTATTTTTTTACTTTAAAAACCAGATCCAGCATTGTTCTTGCTCCACAATGAGCCTCTCTGAAGCGTCTCGCCTCATGTGAACCGTCCTCTGTGTCGTCATCTTACAACAGAGCTGTCTTTGGTTTGGTGTAAAACCGATGCTAATTTTTCAAACCGTCACCGAGGCATTCGTTTGCCTCCGATCCTGCTGAGGCTTCCAGCCATATGCTGTCAGTTTGCTTCTATTTCACTGCCAAGTTATCCGTCTCTGACCTCTAATAATCTCTCAGGACAGACGGGGGAGTTATTGATAGGTTCTGCTTACGACGCCTCTGTGCAGTCGTTCATCTGTTCTCCACACCAAAGACGACGCTAATAAATCTCTTGATGCAGATTCTTCCCCTCCTGGATGTGTCTCGAGTAAACTGTCGCCCGATTCTTCATTATTAACAGATGGTGTGCACAAAAAAAAAAAAATCTTTGTGGCTGCAGTTTTAAGTTGTTTTAGTCGTCTGTTTATGACTCTCCTCGTTTCTGCAGGTGTCGACGGCAATACTCCGAAGGTCTAATTTGTCTGTGATGAGCATCCCCGTCCACCAGAGAGCAAAAATACGGTAAGATATGAAAAACTCATTATCTTAAATCCTAATAAACATCCTATTAGGACTCAGACGAGCCCCGCACTGTGTGAGCCACAAAAAAGCCACTTAAATCTGACTCCACTCGTGTTTTCTAATGGAAAGTAGACTGAACAGTTTCCAGTTGAATACTTTTGCAAGTGTTATTGAAGAAGGAAGTTTTTGGTTATAGGAGAATAATTTAATTTCCTCGTCCTCTTCTTCAATTCAATTTTAATGTGTCGCACTTGATTCCTACAGCTACCGACGTGTGCATGTGATGTTGGCCTGGTTTCGTGGGGGGTTGATCGCCTGGAATTGTTTGATATACGGCGCCATTAATTCTACTCGACTTGCCTGCCGTGTTTTGAAAAGACGCCACGTCTCCTCGTTTTGGTTCTCTCCCTCTTGATAATCTCGCCAGTTTTCATCTGCGAGGAAACCAAAGTTGTTTGTCCGACTGGTTGCGGGATTAGACTCTGGTCATTAAGAGATAGAGGGATTACTCCTGGGCCTCGGGACCCCAGGAATGTACCGACCTGACTGGTGGTTTGCTCACCACTGATGAAACAGAAATGAATTAATGGGGTTGCCCACTGCGAGGGCTGATTAGAACGACATGCTGCCTTTGATCCCTGAGCGAGGTGACCAGGCATGCACGCCACAGGCAATCGGACGAAGGGGGAGGGGAGTGTGCGGGCTTTTGTGTTCCTTAAAGTTTGTGCACGCCGTTATGTGTACACGCCCGTCCTGGGTCAGCGCATCGCTGATGAGCAGGACTCATTATGTGCGCTCCGTGCTGCGGGGGACGTCAGGTGTAAAATCACTCTGTGGTATTTAGTTTGTTCGCTGTGGACGGCTGCCAACTGTGCGGCCCGTGTGATCTGAACTGTGCTCAGTTGTTGCAAATGAACCCCAGTCCTGCGTACATTTCAAACGGTTCACATGGACGCTCAGCCACAGCTTGGTTTTCTTCTTGTTTGATGATACGTGTGGTGTGATGCTGAAGGCTTTTGCTTGTTTGTCTTCATTCCATCACAAACGATTAATAATTAAAATGTTTCAGTTTACCGAGGCTAATTATAAATGAGTTGGTGTACGTAGTGTAGAAGTTCATCAGTAGCTCTTGAGCGTTATTTTAAGCCGTTCATTAAGGCACTACACTCTGAGAACAGTACTTGTTAGAGAGCAGAGCATCTTTATGATGTCAGAAATCTCCCGGGGTGCATCCAACATTCTTTAGTTCACTCCTAACAACTCCTATTTCTGTCAGCAGGAACAAGCGCAGACCCATACTAATAGTTTTGTCCAAAAGAAGCTGCTTCAGTTTACAACTAAACCTTTTCTTTCCTTTTACGATTTTGAGCTTCTTCTCTGATTTTTGTGTCCAACAGTCCAGAACAGGTACACTTTGCTTTTAGCCATTTGCTAATTTGGTTCAGTGTTATTTTATACACTGTAGCCTACAAGCTGTCTCTATTAGACAGTTATTATAACACAAATCATCCCCCACGCTTTGTATTTCAGATGTACACATGTATGAAATAAATGATTAGGCATCTGTGGTTCAAGTTTTATTCTATTGTAGCATGTTCCATATTTTATACAAATTTAATGAATATAAAAAAAATGGTGTTTAACCATTTAGGGGTATTTTTTCCTCATACTTGCCTATCTGCCCAGGCTTTGTACGTATCTGTGATTTTATAGTAAGTGTTTGGAAGGTGTTACAAGGCTAAAAAGCTGGAAGCGCTTCTGAGATATTCACCCCCTAACTGTTTTTGCTTCTCTCACACCAAAACCATTGTATCACTTTGCTCTGAGCTGTACTGGAACTTGACGTTCTAGGAAACCCTGCTGTGTTTACTTGTCTGAACTTTGAATGCTGTTTGCATTTTCACCCCAAAGATCCAGAGCTCGTTAAATCCACTCGTGGTGTTCCGCGTGTGGATTTGCCTTTAAATCCTTGCAGCAGCATGAAAGAAAAATCAAAAGAAATGATGAAACCAAGATCAAGTTGTCTGAAATATTGCTTAAGCAGATCTTTATTTATTTGTGTGTTATTGACTTCTTTTGTTTGTCATGTACCTGGGGGAGTAACGGTCTTCATCATCCCTGTTGGCCTGTCGGTGTGCTGCTGATGTTGGGGCCCCAGCTGTTTGCCAGAATCAAGTTCAAGGCCACTTTAACTTATAATGGATGGTATACTTGTGAACGCGTGTCCCCCTGGTGGCGCTGCTCAGACAAAGCTCAGACCTGCTGCATTACCGAGGAAGAAACTTAGTGGGTGAAGGCAAGTAAACTACTAGAGGGGATTCTGCAGCAGCTAATCAGATGGCTCATTGCATCCTTCCCTCACATTCAGGAGTGCAGGAAATTACCATGAGGCGTGAGCCGACTCCTGTCCAGTGAACACAAATGAATCCCACTGGTCACCTTGTGTAACCTGGAGATGAAGTTTGAGTGTGTTGTTCTTGTTTTGGGCTAACCTTGTTTCTTCTGTAGTCCTGCTGTGACGCACCTGTAAGGCAGTAATGTGGGTTCAGTGCAATGTTCCAGGCAGAATAGTGTCACTTTTTAATATTGAGAAATTGGGAAAATTTGCAAATCAGAAACGACAGCGGTGGATTTTTGCAAAATATAATTATTAACTCTTTGACCCTCCCCCCTTTACCTATTCATCTCCGTAGCCAATGAGCTGCAGAGGGAATGTGAGACAAAGCCCAGAGAGTGAAGCTCGAGTTTGGATTATTTTGTCATGGCTGATCAAGGTGAAGAATTTGCTAAATTAGTTTTCAGGACACTCCATCTCATCACAATAGCTGCTGTCACACTAGGAGGAGAGCGGCGCGAGACGTGACAGCGAGAATTCTTCTTCTGCTCGCTCAGATAAGGTGCTGTCGAGGAAACAACCCTCGCTGCTTATTTTAGCATATTAGCCTAAATTATGCTGACGTTTTTAATAAAAACAAAACTGCCCGCATTGAGGTCAACAAAATTTGCTGAGGTCAGACCGTGTTCGAAGTTGTTAGTATAATTTTTCTGACATGCCTAATTTGAATTTTATAATTGGTTCCCATAAAAATTATTGTCTTGACAATAAAAAAAATAAGTTTTTATTTGAAGAAAAATCATTCTGCCTTTTCTGAATTTGGTATCTATTGAAATGTATTCTTGTATTTGAACAAAAATTGAAACATTTTCAGCAGGAAGGTCTTCCATAAATGATTTCAAACACACATTACTGTCATTAGGTAATTGTTATAAACCAAATCAACTAGAGCTGCAACTACACCCAAAATTCTGCGTACTCACAGTATACTTTGAGTATACCATAATTTTTGCTATATAAGTTGCAGTTTTTGCATAAATTGGCATGCCTGTGACTTATTCAGCAAAGCAACGTATTTATGTTTCCCCCCCATATTTATAACCCAATTTTTGACAGATCTGACGATTTTATTCATTCTGACATGGTAAATATTGAACACTACCATTTTCAGCTGCTAGAGGGCGCTTGACTAATATGACAAGCCAAGTGTCTCATTAATAGGAAAAAGTGGTTATTAATGAGACACTTGACTTGCCATAGGAAGCCACCTTTGTCTCGCTCCAGAACTCCTGGAGCAAACGTCAAATCAACTTCATTTCACCTCACTGCCCAGGCAAAATGCAGCTGATTTGACCATTAAAGTGCATTTATTAAGGAAAAGTTCAACTAAGACACACCTTTACTATAATGTTGAGCAAACAAATAATTGTTTTTAAGTGTTAATCTTGTTAAATTCTTGTTAAAGTCCTCCCGTGCACGCTCCCGTGGCTGCCATTTGGCAGCCAGTCAATTTTTGGCACAACACCGGCCCACATTTCCAGGTTGTCAGCGGTGACGCGTAATAGATGCGACTTATACGGTGAAGTGACGCATTTATATATTTTTCCACTTTATTAGACCTATTTGGACTGATGCGACTTATACGGTGGTGCGACGTGTACGGCGGCAAGTACGGTACCACGATTTTACAAAAAAGTCATTCTTGAAACGCAGGATTTCCTTTAACAAGTCCCACTCTGTGAAAATAAGATGTCAGCTTTTTGAAATTATTTCTTGTATCAAAAACCCAGATGGTTTAGGCTCGTCTTTCCGAGGAGCACCACCTACCTCTTTATTTTTTTTTAAATAGTATGTTATGTTGTTTATTTGTCATATGCAACAAGGTCAACAATGCAAAGAAATGTTCAGGATGAGAAGAACTGATTTGGCTCGCTAAAAACAAAACAAACAAACAAACAAACAAGAAATACTAAAGCATACAAAACAAAGTACCAAAAAGTGAGAAGGAAATATAATACTTACAAGGTCCAAATGAAATATAGTAAACAACAACATTGTAGAAAATAACGATGCAAGTAGGACAAATTAATATTATAAGTATTTAAGATAACACAGTTTTTAAACAAATATTTACAAAAAAACTAAGAGTTTTCTGTTATAAACAGGGTCCACACTGTGATTTTTAGGCAGTTGGAGTTTAAAAATTTTGTTATGGGGGCAAAATCATCTTTGGCCGTGCTCTTTGTGCTCGATGTGTGGTCACTGAGTCCCATATTTTTAGGACTATAAGGCGCACTGTTGATTTTTGAGCAATCTAAAGGATTTTAAGTGCGTCTTATAGTCCTAAAAATATGGTACTCTCACAGCCAAAGACAACAAATATCACTCCAGGTACTCCACTTTCCTCCCACAGACCTCAAACATGCATGTTAGGTTCATTGTCCTTAGCTGTGAGAGTGTTTGTCTCTTTGTGTCTCTGTGATGGACCTGTGACCTGTCCAGGGTGTCCCCTGCCTCCCACACGGTGACTGCTGGAGATAAACACCAGCTCTCAGCGCCCACAACTGGAAAAGTAGATTAAAAATAATAAATTGACTGGATGCTACTATACAACACTATTGAGACAGCAGTAGTAAGAGAAGTTGCATTTCTGTTTTTAAATAAA